CCTTCAGCTCTGACACTCTTCACTTCCATTGTAACTTCTGTATGGCACTCAACAGTATACTACTTATAAGTTATATTGCAAGTAGTATATACCACAATAATACTTCTAGTGTTTAATAAATTGATTCAACGATTAATATGACTGCTTAAGATAAGTGACTGTTATTGGAGTATTTAGTGGTCCGGAATCTCACTCCAATTTTAGACGAACAACTGAATATTTTACTAAGTGAATCTTCTCTTTATTTTCGATAGATTATTCTTAAACGAACTTCGTTTGTTCGATAGCGGTAACTAAAAGCCATACTACGACGAAATGACAGTTCAGCGCTTCCAAGTTTCCAATGGTGGTAGTCACTCTCACACTGATCGATTTATGATTTCACTGGAAAACAACAATCTCCATAACATTATAATGAATATCATGAAATGTGCTCACTAGTGACTAGCTTTGTGGGGAAATTCTCACAGTTCTAGTGAGAAGTCATGATCAGTTAGGATCAAACTCTATCGGGTTTGAAATACAAAATATATATATGCGCTTATCATAATACTCTGTATTAATAAAAAGGAAACAATATGTTCTCGGTGGTATCACTTAGCGTTCTCAACTATTCATAAACCAGAGACTTCAGTCGATCAGTCTACAACCTTAATATACTACTTAGTTTAACAGTAACTAACTCGATGTTGAACTGACCTAATCTCATCTAACTTTCATTGATATACATGTTCAAAGAAACTATCAAACTAGATAATGATTGATAGTTTTTTGATTAGGATGAAATACAAATGAATAAGACGTTCAAATGATAATCTGACATTTTTTATTCTTTTTCAATATGTTTTGAAAATAATAATAATTATTATTATCATATTATTTGAGTAGTATAATATATGTTCATATAAGTAGTATGTTTTGCCAGCGATTCTGAAATATCTTGTAAATTGTTTGGGAAAAAAAAGAGAAAACTAGAGAAAAAAATATGTTTCAGCTTAAAAAGCATACAACTGGGAAAATTTTTTAAAAAAAAACAATAAAAATGCACAATTTCGAATTATGATTGTTCACAGAAAAGAAAAATATTTTTTTTAAATGTTGACATTATCAACATGAAAAGCGAAATTTATGAATGTTGAACTGTTGAAGCGTGTGTACGTTGTCCGTTTTATTATATAAGTACGATTACCATGTTTGACCGGTTAATACATTGAATAATGCATAGAATTAGATTATGGTGCCTGGAAAAAAAAGTGATAGAAAACAGTTAGTTATATTTTGAAGATTTAAAAATTTTAATTATGAGAAACCATTTTGGTCAACCTTGTGATCTGATTTTCACTTTTGAAAATAAATCTACCCCTTTCAATTTCCATATAGTATTCTTAGACGAACCCCATTTGTACGACAGTGATGATAAGAAGCCAAATGTAGATTCAGTTGTATGAGTTTATTTCATGCAATCGTTCATGGAGACAGAGATAAGAATGAACAGAGTAAAAGCAAAGTGAAGCAAAGTGCAGTAGGTAAGTGAGCCAACACAATTTAATGAGGTTTGACTAAGTGTTTATAGCCGGGCAAAAATAGGCAATATATGTGATAAGTGAAGTTATAAGCGAATAATTACCGAGGTCTCAAGACTTGTGACTAACTCGAGGAGAATAAATACAAGCTGAATGATTAAGAGTTTAAACGTTCATGCATGAGACCGAAGGTTCTGTGTTCGATTACCGCTCACGAAGGTCATAGACGCGCACTGATGATGAGTTCTATACCAGAACTAAACTGCCATTCAATAATTTTAGGTTTCTAATGATGCTCTAACACTGATTAATTCATAATCTCAATAATTCTCAACAATCTTCCTAACTATTTAATAAAAATCATGAATTCCAAAGTTCCTTAGTGAATATGATTGTACTCTGCTTGTTAATAACATATATCTGATAATAGAAATCCACAAATAACATTAAAAAAACAGAATTATCTTTCATTCATAAAATGTTGAACAGAACAAAAAAACATTCAAAAAGGGAATGATTATTGCTGTTAAATCAATCAATGAACTAGCCTTAATGGATGCGTATTTCTGAGGTGTGACTGTCTAATGATTTTTGATTTGAACTAATTGTCAAACTGAGATAAATTATTGTTTGGTTTCTATTCAAAAATATATTTTACTAATCTTACATACTGGCCTACTCATTCATTTTTGTATAGATTTCATTAACTTTGATATTCAATGTTCAATCTGTTACTGAAGAAATCTTTAAACAACAAAAAACGGTATCGAATAAATAAAATATCCATTTACTTAAATCCAGTCAATAGGATTACAGGGATTTTGTAGAGATTGCTATCATTACATAATATCGTTCGATATGTACATTGTTAGATTCAAGCTTAGAGATTGTAGTGTGTGCGTATATTAATATGTCAAGCACATAGGAGGCTCCTTCCACCTTTCGAACAAGCTAATCAATCTTTTTCTGTTTGATGCCTAATTCACTCCTACTTTGACCTTGTCAATTATTCGCCAATTAAAATCCTGGTTGTTTTCATTCGAGTGTGTGTGTGTACGTGCAATGTTTACTTCGCCTGTCAAATGTCTAGCTTATTATTGTCTAACTAAAGTACTTAATCATGCCTTATCATATTGAGTTGGCTCATTGACCTTCATGATTTTGTTTCTCTTTGTTGTCTGACTTCATGCCGTCACACAAACGTGCTTCATCTAAGTATGATATACATAAACTGAATGGAAGATTTATCTTATCACATACTCAAATATTGGTTAAAATTAAAAATCAGACCGCGAGCCACTAATAGATCTAAAGATTAAGCATTCAACACAAGAATTAAGACTTTAGATCAATCACTGATTAAACTACTGAGAAATATGTTGTTACTACTAAGCTATTTTACCTGCGTTAGAATTTGTTTTAAGTTTGATAAGTTTACAAGTGATGGATCATTGATTATTGGGGATATGTGGCTGGCAGTGGAGGTTTGAATATGGATTTCATCCTATTGAGAATTAGCCAGATAAATGAATTTATATCCCTGTGTTGTTTTTCACACTAAGACTCGAAGTTAGTAGTTTTCTATCGAAGCTCACTAATGAATTGATCAGTTAAAGTTTTAAATTCCATCAAGAAGAAAAAAATGCTTCATTTGAATCGGTTGTTTGAAACTCCCAGTTGATGTTCGATACTGTAGTTGATCAGCCTCTTTTCAATTATGAGTGCATCGCGTTCGGATTGCTTCAGTATAACCGTTCAGTTACAAGCATAATTATCAGAGATCGATGGTGGCTTGCACTGAAATGCAGGACAAGCGTTTTGTCCTATTCAAGACAATTATGTTAATAAATGAACCTGTTTCTCAGTAACTATATAAATGACAAGATAATGTTTAAAGTGGATACAGTTAAATCCAGCCACAAACCAGTCTGAAATAGGATGAAACGCACGTTCTGGATTCCATTGCAAACCACTAACTACTTCTAGTGAAGAGAATGGTTGTTGTCATATTTACAATTTATATAGAGCCATTTTACTATGATCTTATTTTGGCAAAATAATAGCGAGAATAATAACCTGATACAATCAACTGATATCTCTATTTTTTCTTCAATTTCTTATTAAATTTTTTGGTGATCAAGTCATAAATACTAATAAGAATCATTGTAAAAATAAACAATTTTATAAATAAAAAATGATTGAATTAAAACAAAACTTCCATAATAGATGAACGATGATTTAAGACTACAGTTATTGCTTTTCTGAAAAAATATATTCATCACAGTCACAGAAGTGATAGTAACAGTTTAATTGGTACTTGCTACCAACTGCCATTTTTCTGAGAAAAATCTGAAATTCATCTCCGAAAGTTTCGTGATAAACATATATATATATATATATATATATATATATATATATATATATATATATATATATATATATATATATATATATATATATATACGATTAATATAATCACCATAATTATGATATTTTTATAAACAAACAAAGCATAATGAAGAGAGAATTCAATTCTATCTCAGTTTTCTTTAAACGCTTTCTTTCTAAATCTATTCTTATACACAAAAAGAACTAGGTTGATTTTTTTTCGCTGATAATCATTTGCCTACTATTTAAATAATCAATAGTATATTTTAGACAAGGTTGTAAACTAACTAATTCAACAGAATAAAATTATTGGCAATAATGAAAAAAAGAAATTCTTGATGAAAGCATTTTAATGCGCATTTTTATGATGTTGATGATGATAAGCCGACAAGCGAACTTCATGCTAAGCGGAGATGTAAAGTTTTTGACTAAAGGGATGCAAGCAAAAAATATAAAACAGATTTTTTGTTTTCAAAACATGGCTGAAAAAAAGAAGTGCTTTAATATTCTTTTTCATAGAAAAAAAAATGGTGTGATTAGACGCAATTACAATGCACAGAAATTATCAATGTCAACAACTAAGCAGAACTTAGTTAGCGCTTTTTAACTTTTTTTATCTTTGATATATATGTGATCAGCTTTAAAGAAAAAAAGAATTCTTTTTATTGATATAATCAGTGGAGTTTATACCAAGTCAAAAGTAGGATAGATAGGGTTGATACTCTTCCAATAAAAAGTGACTGAAGTTACTTTATCAGTGTCGTTAGATTACAACAACTCATTATGATGCAGATGCTGCGATTGCTTACAAACCTTCAAGTTTATAGTTCAACTTTTAAGAATAGGATATCAAAATTTAACTCTAGGTAGTCGTGAATCAAGCAAGTATGATCCTTTGTTGTTGTATAGTTATCGACTCATTATTTCATCACAGTAATCATAAACTGTTAAAGATTTCAAATCATGTAATTAGTTGATTATTTCTAAGACATACGTTTTCCTCAAATATTATCTAACAAGTAATACTTCGTATGGTTTTTGATTTCTTTCAAAAGAAAATAATCATTCAACGTATCTAAATGTGTAATTTTATCTTCAACATTTTTGATTGATCATGTGATATTTAAAAGTTGTACAGTTGATAAAATCTACTTTAATGTATTTGTTAGTAGTGTGCTAAGTAATTACTAAACATTCCAACGTTTCTTACACACTGTTCATGTCTTTGTATGTAATAATCATCCTAAATTTGTTTTTGTTACAGTGAAATGTACTCTCCTCATACAGTCTTAGCGTTTTAGGAATTCCGGCTTTTACTACTACCATCACTCATAATCGCACTAGCACAATGTTTGAAAAACCCAGTGGAAATTCAATCAAACGAGATTTCCACAATGAGTCGTTGCATTCGAAGTTGATAATTTGTAAATTAGCGTATATTACCAATAAGTTGAACCGGCATTTTTAAGCATCGAAATACTGATTAGTATTGTCATCAGTGTAATTTTTTATTGATAGAGAAAATCTGTTATTATTGCTTGCTGAGTTGAGTAATAGAAACACATATAACTGATCGAAATCATTATGAAATTCGTGTTGTCTTGATCGAAGCAATGCTCTTACAAATGAAAATATTCCACTTGGGAATAACCACGATAGAGAACAAGAAAAAACTGTAACACCAGTATATGAGAGTAAAACGTCATGACAGAGATTATCATAATATGTAAAAGGTATACAAAGCGCAGTGTATATGATGTTGTTTTAGAAGATAATAAAATTCTTTATTGCTACAATTTCAAGTATTCTGCAATGCATAATTAACCCCAGAGAAAAAAAGTAAAATCCACACATTGGAATCTCATAATGACCACAGTTAGGGAAACTAGAGTTTCTTCAAGATGTGAGAAGTAAAGATTGGATGAGTTCTGCATCATTATTGTTTAAAAATCAATAGATCATATTAACTTCACCTGTTTAACATGATAATAAGACAATTACATATTGAATTCAGTGCAAAGCTAAGCATCAACCAAACGATGTACTCCAAGAGTAACATTAGAAGACATACAATTGAAATGTCATGTTATTGACTATGTATGTTTTCGGGCAGAGTTTTGGAGGTTTGTGATTTTACACATTTGAAATCATCAATCGATCAATCATTGTTAGACCACCCCATTAGAAACCTGGAATCACTGAAAGACGGTCGTTCCGTCCTGGTATGGGACTCATCAGCAGTGTGCATCCATGACTCATACACCTCGCAGGATTCGAAACCGGGAACTTTGGTATGTATGTGCGAACGCCTAACCATCAAGTACTAACAACTATCATTATGTCATCCATTATTATAGTTAGACATGTCACTATGAAAGTATTTAAGCTGTGATATGTCTTTTATTGAATGAATATGTATATATATATATATAGTACTCACCTAAGAAAGAAGAATTTGTCAGGTTAATTCTTTTTTACGTTCAATGTAATCTGTACATTTCACTTCACAAGCTATAACAAAAAATATTGACATGAAAACATTTATTATTATAAATTAGTATGATAAACAAGAACATTTTTCGAAATAAATTTATGTCATTAGGCTGTTTTTAGTCGAAATCTGACTTCATTCTGCTTAGAGGTGAAAAAATTGTTTATATCAATTACTTGGTTGATTACTTTAGATCAACTATTCTGTGTTATCAAATCAAAAACATTAATTCTTCTCATCAATTTGCGGTTGCATTAGACTCTGGCATGCTATGAAATAAATCTTCCCTTCAATTTCCGGATATTATTATACTTAGGCTAATCCTGTTTGTGCGACGGCGTTAATAATAAACTGAATACGATTATGCGGATGGATTGATTTCATACATTCATTTAAACAAACAGATGAGAAGAAATAAAAGCGCACAAATTAAGTAAAGCGATGCGGAGGCTGTGAGTGAGCCAGCCATCTCAATGCAATGAGGCATAATTAAGTGTTTAAAGTCTCAGACAAAAAATAAGTCAAACATGCGATAAGCGAAGTAGACGATGCATACACACACACACACTTGAAGAAAAACAACCAAGATATCAGCGAATGACTGGCATGAATGATCAAAAGGTGTGTGAATAATAACTCGAGAAGTATGGATTAATTAGTCTGTTCGAACGAAGGTAACGATTAAAATCTGTGGACTCGGCATAAAAGTACACACACACTACGACGACCTTTAGGTGTTAGGAAATGTGTAACAAATAATTTTTTGTAGTACTGATCCATAAGATACAAGTGTTCATTGACAGTTGTCTACGCAAAATACTTCGGATACGTTGGCCAGACAAGATCAGCAACAACTTACTGTGAGAGAGGACAAACCAGATTCCAGTGGAAGAGGAAATCAGGAAGAAGTGGTGGAAGTGGATAGGACACACACTACGAAAAGCACCTAACGGTGTCACGAGACAAGCCCTCACATGGAACCCTCGAGGCGAAAGGAAAAGAGGAAGGTAAGGAACACAGTACGCCGAGAAATAGAGAAAGACATGAGAAGAATGAAGAAAAATTGGACAGAACTGGAAAAGGAAGCCCAAGACAGAGTTGGTTGGAGAAAAATGGTGGGGGGGGGGGGGTAACAGGCGTAAGCAAGTAAGTAAGTTATCAGCGAACGACTGGCAAGATCAAAAGTCATGTGCATGATAACTCGAGAAGAATAGATTACTTCATTTGTCTGAAGATTACGAATAAACTCTGTGGACTCGGCATAAAAGTACACACACACAGTACGACCTTTAGGTGTTAGAAAATGATTAACAAATAATTTTTTTGAATTGTTGATTACGAAAATTAGTATAGTTCGGAAGAATGTGATTTTGATTGCTTCATTCAAATCACTGAAATACAAGGTTAGAGTTAGAAGTGAACTTATTTCCTCTGTCTTTTAGTTAAATTAAAAGAATAAGTTGACACAACAATTGTTAAGTTGTCTGACTGCAAAGATTTAATTGATTATTTTAGGTATGTTTAATTGTCGCAGAATCATTTCAGTTGATGATCTCGTTTACACGAGTCAATTTTCGCTTATTGCTTAGTGTTCTTTAAACTCGGTACCAATGTTCAACTAGTCCGTAGACTTAAACATGTACTTTATAGTATATTTGAACAAATCAAGTTAAATACGAAGGAATTATTATGATCGAAATGTTAGTATATATTTACACGAGACTATTCTCGAATCTTCTCCATAGATCTACTAGTTTTGATTGACCAGATATAAGCTAATCAGTATGCTTCAACGTAATCTTGCACTGAGCATGCTTTAAGATTTTAAATTTACAAATTAACCACCAAATAAGTGAAAATGATCTAAACTGTATGTATGATGAGGACATTAACACCGTTGGATACCGGCACAGTGGTCCAGAGGTTAGGTGTTCGTGCGTAAGGCCAAAGGTCCTGAGTTCACATCCTGCGAGGTGCAGGAGTCGTGGATGCGCACTGCTGATGAGTGCCATACCAGGAAGAAACTGCCGTCCAGTGCTTACAGGTTTCTCTTGGTGGTCTAACAATGATTGATTGATGATTTCAAACATTCATAACATGTCTGAAGATGATAAAATAGGAATGTATCTTATATCAGTGATCCGAAAATTGAAGATCCAAATGGAATATATTTCTTGTGAATACAGTGTGTTCCACAAACTGTTATTTTGAAGGCAACGGATTTAATAAGTAAGTATATTTTTATTACGTAACTGATATTTTGATGATGTTCTCCTACTGACTTCATATCAGGTTGAGAAATTTATGGCGAAAAAAATCAGAGGAACACTTGATAAGTAGTTTATCCTTAGTGCAAATCTCAAAACAATTTACATTTATGACAATTTAATAGAGAAGATTCAACATTTTTAAACACCACACAGAATTTGACAGTGAAAATAATCATGCAGACATTGAACATTGAATCAGTCTTATCATATAAAAGTTTTGTTTGTTTTAATTTTCATTTTAATAAACATAAAAGTCTACTAAAACCATTTCACTAACTTGGTTCTTCTCGACCATAGTGAAAACTTTCTTTTTGACACAGTACATTACATGTATGTGATGAAGCTATGAAAAGATTTTTTTAAACAAGAATTTGAATCAAAAATAAAATATGGAATATAATGGTTGGATAAAATAGAATGATTATATTGAAAATTGAAACTTTTGCAAATGAATTCAACAGTTTCAATGTAATGAACTTGTTAATTGTCAGAATTAAACATTTTACGTTACATATCATCAGCATAGTCAAATTGTTTATCAAGCTGAGACATCTCTATTTAAAACGAGGGAGATTATTGAACGTTGAACATCTTATTGAACATCGTTATGGTAAAGGATAATTCATAATCCACAGTCGGCACTTATTTAAGCTGTCCATACCAATACGTACATTTAGTAAGATTTTTATTGATCTTATTCCGTCATCAAACTAGTCATATTAACTGGACATCAATGACAGGTTGATAGAGGTCAAACAATAACTGCGAATTTTAATTTTAGCGTAGTGGACTAATATGTCAAAACCAGACTAGGGATACATATACCAAGTCTTCAAACTTCTATTTGCAAAAGAAGCATATAATTGACTCTCTTCTTCAGATGTCTTTCGGCATTCAAAAAAAAACGAAACAAACATTTTGATCACGCGATCATGTATTCCGATCCGACACTTTTTTCTCTAGGAGTAAATTCTGTTCTACACCCTGCCACATACTACTTAGAATCCACATTGATAGTAGTATCTACGACAATATCTAGTCCGTTTGATTTATCTGTACCTAATGCAAAACTACCTATTTTTAAATGACAAGACAATAGACAGCTATAAAAAATAAATTGTCCATTTTTTATGTGTATAGCTAGTTTTCATCAATTAATTTATCAAGAAATTTTATGTTCCAAATAGCTCTTCTAAAATATAATCATTTATCTTACAGCGACTTTTGATGAAACATGTTAGAAAAGTATGCAAGTTGATAGACTGTTTATTATGCTTACACTAATTAGGATACAACTCGATATTGACAAATGGAACTTAAACCAATTGCATAATAAATAACAGAACAGCTTATTCTGTTCTCTACAGTACAGTCCACCTAACCAGGACAGAAAAAATCCGAAAATTGTATAATCCGCAAGCAGCCCAGGAAGACCGAACGAATTACCAAGTAATCAATTCATGCAGAATTTATCTAGCAGAAAAAATGTCTTTGGAAAAATCACAAAATAGCGCACTAGAAGGGGAAACTAACCAATCAGGTACACGAATTGATCATTGAATTTTGATGTTCTAATCAAATGAAATGTTTTAACATGACTAAAACAAAATTTATGGCTATTATCCTATCTTATTCTCTTTCATCAGACACAATGTGGTGCTTTCTATAATAAAATATAAGTTCTCAATGGTTATCACATAGCATGGATAATTAAAAGTGATTTTACTATCATGAAAATAAGCAGAAATCTGACTTACAATCTTTACCAGGTGGTCCAGCAGGACCCGGTGGACCTAAAATGAAAGTAATGAACTTTTAATGAGGATGATGATGATGATATTATCCAAATCAAATACAACTTTTCTTATCAAATTGAAAAATAACATGACAATATTATATTTATGACAGTCATGATTATGCAAGGCTGAAACGAGCAACAATTCTATCAGTGTAATTGAATTTGCATATAGACAAAAACAATCTAGTCATTGTTTTCTATCTCGACTAGTTGTAGAATAAATTGGTTCTTCAGATGTGAAGTGCCGCGATAGTTCCACTAATTATGGTTTGCAAACAACGACAGGTTTAAGGTCAACAGCAACCAATCAAGATCGAGGTTAGCAGAACAAGCTACAGGTCGAACATGGAGAAATTCGAATGCTTCACTTCTATCTAAAGTTTGTGCTGATGATGTTGTTAAGAAAGCTCCACAACCAAAACTCCCAACTCAGAGAACCAAACACCACCACCACAATCATCCGCCTGAGTTAAAAAGCTTCTCCACCATCTCATTGTTCCATTAAGTAACAAGTATTTTATGTACTGATTCAGTCAGTGGCCAGTTCTGTGATTGAATACGCACGTTTTGTTTTATGCATGACTCGTCACATGTAGGAACCTGCACTTGAACGTTAACAATGAAACCAGTAGCCGAACCTCGATTCATTTAAATCTAAAAGCTCAAAGTGTTATATGGTCAACTATTAAGTGCCAGTAGCTACTAAGTTGTCGTTAAACTGGGTGAATTCAAATTCATTTTGCACAAAATACATTCTATGATAAAATAATATATCTTCTACGCCCTATTAGTTTTCAAAATCAGAATTCATTCATTACATTTGATCTAATAATGTCGGTGATTGGTAGAGGTCATCGACTTTTCAAATTTTTAACCTCTGAACCACTGAGATGACACACACTAGTATTAATGTCTAACTTTAACCGATTCAAAATATTCCATGATTACTATGATTTGGACCCATTAAATTTCCACAAACTCCGTGAATCTTCTTTGCCAATAAGATACATGTTCTCACTAAAGATTAACTTAAAGATCTAACTCCGTAAAACCGTTCTTAGTTGGTTAAAGAATAACATTCTCTATATCTTTTTTCATTAACATTCATTTTCGATCGATAACTACTGATTATCTAGAAACATTGAACTATTGTACTGTCCTATTTCCAATCTCTTAACCTTGAAAACCACTGAGTAAAGATCCAATGGTTCACGTTTCTTTCTTCAGATTAAAAGTTCTGAGTTCGGTGTGCATGGCTGAAAAGAATTCCATCCTAGATATTTATTAATTATTATCATCTAACTGACATTGATTTGCAATCATCTCAAGTGCATAGATTTTTAGATTTAATTAGTTATTCCAAATGAAATTAAGTAATATATCCAAAAGAAAATAATTATATAAATTTTTTTAAAGAAAAAACAACAAGTAAAGAATTCTTTAAAAACGTTTGTTTTTTTTCCTACGGAGTTTAAACAAAAATTAAAGAATAAACGTTTTTTTTTAAATTACCGCTACTATTTTTTTGAACAAACATTGAAATCAAAGCTACAATGTTGTACATTGTAGTAATGTTAAATATTTAATTTCATATTTATCTCAAAGGAATGCAACACATGAAAAGAAAACTGAAATTTCGTTGATCCGCCTAAAGTGTATGATTAATTTTTTTTAGAGAAATTCTTACAAACATCATCAAGAAAAAAGAATAACTTCATTCTTGAAAATCGGTAAACACTCTAGAGCGGTAAATTTAATGACCAATAAAGAGTTAAGTGTGTATTGTAGAGTTTAAATTTTGAATCAGTGTTAGCTAGACCACTAAGAATTGCTGAGAAGCCTTTAATCTGATACTTTGTTCTATTATGAAACTTAACTATTTACGGATAATTATCTACTGTCGTAAATTTATCATAGATAAACATTTCAGTTAGTTAATTCGATTTGAAGTGAGTGGTTTTGGAATTATCGTGTTGTTGATAGTCTGATTAAGTGAGATTTGATCAATCTTGCTTAGCGTATTGTGGTGCGCGCTACTTATAAGTAGTATATGACGTGAGTGTCAACGTAATGTCTGGCAGCAGAAGATGGGGGAAGATCAAGAAAGGAAGAGTGGGAACACAATGGAATTTGTATGAAACGCATGAATAGTGAATTGTCAGACAATGGATTGATGATGGATTGAAGATTTGCAAATTAACGGTTACGATATGGTTTTCCTATTTTACTGAGTAACTCTGTAATTTTCGTTAAATACAATTCGGTTGCCCTCACCTGTGTTCTCCTTCACTACAATATGAGTATCTTATGCGGATTTCTTCAATATATAGACATTATAATACAAAGCGCGATAGAAATAGATAGAATGTGACTAGTAGTGTAATCTAGTACCTGCATTTCATCTTAATTCAAACTTGTCAACTGAATGAATCTACATCTCAGAATTGATGTTTACACCGGGACTGGAATCTAAACGAATAACATCCAGGTGTTTGGAACAAACAATGATAGATAAAAAATTTGATTTGAAAAAAATTTGACATTCAACAGCTTCATAGAAGATGCATGATAGTTAGATAGATTAATCAACTTTGTAGAAAATATCAGCATAGATATCTTTCTTACCAACTCAAACATAAAAAGTTAGTCATCTACACAGTTAGAGGTAAATTAAATACGACAAGTAATTTAGATAAAAGTACAAACAAAATCGATAAAACCCACTAAGACAATAGATTACAAACAAAACCGACAGAACGATATAATCCAACGCTTGTAGAAAATTATGACCTGTATATAAACAGCTCTAGGCCCCACCAGAGTATCATTTGACAATCAGTGTCCGTAGGTGTTGCATGTGCTTTTCAGCTTCTAAATGCAAAGTACTTTTACAAGACTGGAAAAATTGTGAATGTGTTCTCACTCTTGGTAGTGAACACACAGAAGTATTGGAAAATTTAAAGTATCTGAGAAGCTCTGTATCTGCAGATGGTAATGAAATTAACTGACGTTTAATGTACGCCAGAGTAGCTTATGCCATTCAAAGTCATCTTTGGTGTCTTTATGATGTTAGCTTGGCTTTAAACGTTCGGCTCTACAATGCATCCATGAGAGCGGTTACATTCATTGCTTGTAGAACATAGTTTATCTGAATTTAAGTTGTTAGAAAATTTTTCCTGTATTCGATCACGGTTATCTTCAAAGGTTTGCTGACATTCAGTGAAAACATCATGTCGATAATTCAAAAGTTTGGCAACTTGTGTTGTGATCATCACTAAACACCGACTTTAGTAGCTTAAAAAATGTCATCCTGGCGAATTCCACTAAATGCATTATTTGCCAATGTGAGGACTAGTTAGAAAAAGTGGATAGGTGGTCAGTGTCTTGCATAATGTCAAAGTATTAGAGAAATATTTGAAGGAATAACATCTGCTGTTCCTTCATGACTCCTCCTTGCGATACTAGATATGGTGTAACTCAGTGGCTTGAGACATCATTAGACATGGTTCAGAATAAAAAAAACCCAAAACGCTCCTGCTGTAACTTTATTTCATTTTCTTCACATAAATAGGAGGAGCTTCTTCAAATGATTGTATTTTTCCGAATTGAACTGTCCCTCTCATGATTATTTCATTCCTACACACTGATTTCCATCCATCTCTATTTCTTCTCAACCTTATTTTTACTGTGAGCTACAAATGTAACTTGGTGCCTACATGTACCGATATTTTATTCTTTTAAACCCATAAATAAGAGATTTTCCAGCATACAACTGAAAGCTACAAAATTATATCACCTAACTGAATAAAGGTAGCTGCATCAATCTAATCAAACTAGATTAGATCTAATTTTCAAGCGATAAACATATCTTCAAATAATGAATATCCTTCTTTTCAATTTTTTTTTATTTTAAGCGGTATTTTGTTTATTCAATTTTCAATTATTAAAATCTTATTCATTGAACAAAACAAAATTTATCAAGAAAATTAATTGAATAAGATAAGAATAAGAAAAAAAAGACAACCATTTGATAATCCAATGTACTTCTCATTTTTTTGTTGGTTTATTTTTCTAAAGGAATGTGAATAGAACAAGAGATCAGAGAGAGAGAGAGTGAGAGAGAGAGAGAATGAGAGAGGCAGAAAGATACTTTCGAAAAGAAATGGCTTAACTTTGAAAAAAACCCACTCTCATTTAATTGACTTTATCTTAACCGTTTTTCCCCTTTCCAAAATAAATCATCAAAATTAGATGAAATGAACTGCTAATTACATAACAATGAAAATAATTTTTTAAAAAAAATGTATTTTTAACCAGTCAAATGAATGTTTCAAAATAAATTATCAAAAAAAAATGAAATTAATTTATGGTTGTCTAGAATTATTAACTGTAATTTAATAAGAAAAGAAAGTTGAACCTGTTTTATTTCTATTTTTCCTCAATATTTAACTTTTTACATCTTATCGCATTTTAAAATTTATAATTTTTGTTTTAAGAATATGTAACACTCTTTTGTTTCGATTTGTAATCATTAAACTAGAATACTTTATATTTTGTTTAAATGTATAAATGTATGCATTCATTTTTTGGCGGGAAAACGAAGCGCCAAATTCAAATTGAATAGAAATTGGTGAGGAATGAGAAAAAGGAATGTGAAAAAAATTAAATTTCAGTTAGACAGAAGAGGGAGGGAAATAATGTAATTCATTTAGGTTGCAGCACTCTGAACTAATAAATTTTTAAAAAAATTGACGACAGTAATTCTTAAAAGAGAAACGAGATATAGTTTTTATGTGATAATTCATAAAAATTTAAGTCTAATCTAATAATTAAAGCATTCTGTAGTTAAAGAAATTATAACGCCATAGAATAATTAGTTATTCGTGATAAATTTTGGCACAGATGGACGTAGGTCACAGTTACCAAAGCATATTATCGTCAGAAGATGAGCTTAAAAAGACGAATAGCAAAATGGATTTTAAGAATGAAGTAGCAATGAATATTGAAACACTGAGCACTAAGAATATGATACGAATAGACTGACTGGAGAAATATGTTTGAAAGAATACTGGAATAGAAGACTGAGAAGAAAATCATGACTGTTGAATCAGAGTGCATTGTGAGTATTTATAAGTCCGAAAGTCTCCGTTGATTGACGAAACTGACTTCAGTGTTGATAGAATGATTATTATGTGTGCCTGTTCAACCTTTGTACAGTAAAAATCGATTGACGAAAACTATTGAGTAATCAATTTATTTCGCTTAATTGAACGTCTTATATTTTTATTCAATTTGTACGAATAAATGCTTACCAAACACTACATGAATTGTGACTAGTTAGTCCAAAAAAGTGATCCAGAGGTTAAGTATTCATTTATCAAGCCAAATTTTACACCCGGTTTCAAACCCAGTTTGAAGAGTCGTTAGTACATATTTGCTGAAGCGTTTCGTACTATGACAAAACCGTGGTCTAGTGTTTCCAGATTTTTAATAGGCATCAAACATAAATCTGTTCGTGATCGTAATTCGACTCAACGATTTCCAAAAACGCAGACAGATAAAATATTTTATAGCAAGAGTTTTTTATTTTGTAAAAAAATTTATACTTATATTACAAATATCAAATATTTCTGAAACTCACCTTTTGGACCTTGAAGACCAATTAATCCACGTAGACCAGGTGGTCCTTGAGGTCCTGTTTCACCTGTTTGTTTGTTTGTTGATTTTTAAAAGAAGAAATACAATTTTGTAGCGAATTAAATTGTACATTGAACAGAATGAAATTATTGAACACCACATTGCCTTTTTCAAAGAATAATATTTATGTGTGCAAATTTAAACGATTACTGGAATGATGCTGAAAAGATTTTTCAATCAAAATCTAAGTGACATGAATAAGCAATGCACTGCAAATTACTCAATGAACATTGTCCTAATGTTATTAATGAAAGTTTAATTAATCTGAATTGGTTTCTGCCATAATAGTGGTTAAATCCTTTTAGAAACGAAAGCAGTTCAGACTTTGTCCTTCAATATCAAGTTTCTTACAAATAGAACGCAGGACCTACAGTCTCGCGCATAAACACTAGAGAGTTTGCTTCTAGCGAGCGGTGAATCCACACTGTCTATAAGTCCCATACATGGACGAAACGGTCGTCTCCAGTACTTTTGTGTTTATAGAGGTGACCTAGCGTCGATCGATTCATTATTTCAGTTTGAGTTTCTGTTACATAATTTATGACAGGGAACATAATTTTTTTTAAGAATCGCAAATTGAAAGGAATAAAAGAAACAAACAGGCAAATATACACCGTAATTTAGCTCTAATCCATTAAGGAATGCGTTAGTAATCTAAAATGTTTAACTAGTTGGTTATATTTTCTTCACTGAAGTTATGATTATTGACAGTAATTAGCCTCATCATTATTCTGTATGTCAGCAATGATCTTGAAGTTGTTTTTCCAGATTTATTCTCATAGTTTTTCGTTAATTTTATTATGCCTTTCTCAGAACAAGTAAAAACAAACGGGGCACTAGATAATGTCAGAAAAAAACTGATCCTATTTCGGTCAAAATATCGACTATAGGATAATTTAAACCATTTTAAATCGGAGACTAAAGTACTGGATAGCTATTTCATTCAAGCATAGAACACCTCGACATTTCATATACATCACTCGCTTAAGTGTTGAAGCCATGCTTTCTCATTTCAAGGCTACTAATTTAAAATTCGTTGTTCGACATTCCAAGTCATAAAGAGAAGCTGTGACCAGTGAAGTTCTGCTGTGTCCGGTGTGAGGCAGTTACCCAGCGAAGAGAACGGATGTAGCATAATATTGTGAATTGACTGAAGTTAGATTTTAACATAGTGGAATGCTTACTCATTGATTAAGAGCTTAAGCGTTGGTGTGTGGGTTCTATTCTTGCTTGAAGGCTTGGGCGGCTGTTCATTGGCAAGGAATCCCATGCTAGAACGGAATGATCGTCTAGTAATCCTTGGATTCGAATGTTGAAATAACATAGATCAGTTCATGCTTTCAATGGAACTCAGAAATCTCCATAACACAATACTCACTATTAATGAATGAGAACAAAGCCAAGTGGCTCTTACAAGATAACAAAACTCAAACAGATATTGAACTTTCATTTCTGTTTGAATATCTCTTTCGTCATCATTTTTCATTGTGACAGAAATTAGTAAATAAGTTTAATTTTGACATATAATGAAAAGATATACACAAATGATTTATAAAAACCAATATATATATATATATATATATATATATATATATATGATACCTTGAGGTCCTCTTGCACCCGGTGCACCTGGTTGACCCGGTGGTCCAGGTGGTCCTAGAATAGTAAGGAAATAAATAAAACTTAGCCATTTAAATATTATTCGTGTAAAGAAGTTGTGAAGATTATAGAGTTTACGCTATTTCATTTCAAAACAAATGCATAAGCACTGATGAATACTGTCTCACTGATCTAGAAGTTAGGTAGTTCCCGACCAGACTCGAAATTCTAGAGTTTGATTTCTCAATCGAATATGAAGGATGTGCAGTTTGATTAGGTCCTATACTAGGACAGAGTAGCTATTCAATGCTTCCATGTTTTCAGAGGTAGTTTAGCTGAAATAAATTCATGCTTTAAACTGCGATTTTAAAGTTTTATCTGAAGACTTTGAATTTTTATTAAAAGAATCACGTGATGTATGGGCGAAAATAAATGACACTGACAATTGACCATATGTGCAACATGAACTTAAGCTCAAGCCTTTATAGTAGAAAAGATTTGTGTTAAATCTAAATGTTTTCTTCGAAGTATTTACTAAATTAAAAAAAAAGATGCTGAATGTATATTGGTCAAACATCGAGGAAAGCTTTCAATTGGAATCTTCAAGATCGGAATTTTCAAGTTTTGCTGACAACATGATGTACATTCAGACCCATAGTTCACTCATTTATACTTCCAGTCTAAATCTAGTTTACATTTTACACAACCATCATCAAGTTTCATCTGTACTGCATTAAACATAGCTAACTCCTACTTACCAACTTATAATCTAAAACGTACTGTCGAACTTCACACTTTATCTCTCATGTTACATCATGAATAAATAATAATATTAATAATAATAACAAATAAATCATTCAATTTGATATCAACAATTTAAAAATAATAGAATTCATTGAGAAATTTAAAAAATCCGGTATTGAGTTCATTATTTATTTCAATATATATATATATTCTTCGTATTTATTGTAAACAATTCAAATTCTTTAACAAAACAAAATAAAATGTAACTTGACTTATTGAGTACCACCATTTTCACGAAGTTATTTTTAATGATTGACTGACTAGTTACACTTATCATGATCATTTTCAAATGATAGTGTGAATAAATTATTCTCTAATGAAGTAAGTATGTTAGTTAGTTAGTTGAGTTAGTTAGTTAGTAAGTAATAAATTAACACTAAATTGAACATATTGAAAATAAATTAAATACAAATCAAGCGTATTTAAACACAGAAAGATGAGTGTATTTTTTTTACAAAAGTTGAAAATAGAAAAAAAACAGAAAGAAAGATTAAATCAACTGTATGAATGTAAACAGTTGAACATAAGTATTTCAAATATGTACATAATACATTTTAAAGTGAAAATTTCTTGATTTGTTCTATATTACACATTTGAAATCATCAATCAATCACTGTTAGACCACCATTAGGAACCTGGAAGCACTGGACGGCCGTTTTGTCCTGGTATGGGACTCCTCAGCAGTGCGCATCCACAACTCATATGTGTAAAAACACTAATCTCCAAAACTCTGCCCCAAAATATCGTAACAGTGCTCACTAATGACTAGCTTCGTGAGGAAATTCTCGGAGTTCTAGTTGAGAAGACGTGACCAGTGGAGTTCAACCATGTTGGGTGTAGGCAGTAACTACCAAAGACAGATGGATGAGATTACAAAAATCCCTAGATCAATCAGAGTTTGACACTGACACCGTTGGATGCCGGCTTGGTGGTCCAGAGGTTAGGTATTCACGCACAAGACCAAATGTCCCGGGTTCGAATCCTGCAAGGATGCACACTGCTGATGAGTCCCATACCAGGACGAAACGGCCGTCGTGCAGTGCTTCCAGGTTTCTGGGGGTGGTCTAACAATGATTGATTGATAATTTCAAAACACTAATCTCCAAAACTCTGCCAGAAAATATAATTCTATATTATTTGATTGTTTATTCAAGAAAATAAGAATAATTTGGTTTCAATGTACAATGTTTTTAGTGATCATGATGTTTTTAAAGAGTGTTTGGTGACAAAATCTTGAAAATCGATAAAAAATCATTTGGTCATTATGAGGTTATGAAGATTGTTGAATTTCTATGAAATCATGAATTGATCAAGGTTAGACTACCATGAAAAAAACTGAAAACATTAAATGTTAAAGGTACTTGTGAGACTGAAAGTTCGGAGTTGGATTACTGATTGTGGAGTCATGTAAACGCGTGGCTTATGAGTCCCATAATGAGATGAAACGGTTATCTAGTGCTTCTATATTTCCACCGGTGGTCTAATATTGATTTGTTCATGATTTCCAAAGCCCTATAGTGAAAATTATCTTCTGTTCAGTACTGGCTGGCTACCTGAGAGAATTCTCGGTGTCTTAATGGAGCCAAGTACAACGGCGTCGGTTATGAGACAGTTACCCACCGCCAACCATGAATGACAGTCGTGCGATATTGTGGTTTAACTTCAATGGATGCCGGCGCAGATCTCAAGAGTTTAGGCAGACCCTAGATTCGATTCCTACGAGTGGAGTCGCGGATGTGCACTGCTGATGTGTTCCATACGAGGATGAAAAACTTTAAGAATTAATTACCATCTTATGTGGAACAAACTAGAATTATGCGATTTGTGCAGGATTAATTTTGATAAAATTATTATAGTGATGAGTTAGTGTTTGATCAATTCACCTTTAGCATTAAAATTTATAGAATTCATTATCAGCATTGTTTACTGGTTGTAAATGTCAAATTAAGACAAAATGCTTATCGTATATTTTTAAATTCTACCTGAGATGGTGTCAGTCCATGACAAAAATTGATCTCATTGAAAATTAATTTTCATGATTAATTCATTTTAAAAACATTTATTTTTTATTGTTTTGAATTTTCATGTTGATATCACGAACTACTGTGGGACAGTGTCTTTTCAGCTTCTTGAGATAATTTTCTTAATTCCTATCGACAAATCATTAACAAAAGCTGAATGGTTATCTGAATTCAGTAGCTCAGTTGATGACACATTTTAAATAAACATTACCAATGTTCAAAACTCAAGCTAACAAGTCTCGAAATAGCATCTGACTATTCAACTTGAATGAAATATATTACTGAAAAAAAATTGGATATCATGTGAATTAATCAGTAGTGGATATTTTTGAGTTTTGCTGAAATCATCGATTGGTCAATGTCAGACCACATTTAGAAACCTGCAAGCACTGAACGGCCGTTTCTCCGTAGTATGGGACTCTTCAGTAGTGAGCATCCACGACTCCCTCCACTTGTACGAACCGAAACCAGAACCTTCGGTCTTGAGCACGAACATCTAAACTCAGAACTGCTGAACCAGGATCCAATGGTGTTACTGTCTTACTTCGATCAATACATGATATTGCGTAACCTCATCCACTGTCTTCGATTAGCACTGCTTAACAACCGAACAGGGTCTTACTCCCCTTGGTCAAAATTTCTCACTAGAATTCGGAGAAATTTTCCTCACGGAATTGGTCATCAGTTAGCACATGATAATTTAAAATACATGAAAGTACACTCACAAAAATCCCACTGTTTCCATTTAAAAAAATTCTAGACCAAAAAATAACGATAAAATCGATCAGTGTTAAGATGCAAAATGATTTGAAATCAATGAATACTGTCAGTAAAATTAGGTTTTGCATCGTAGTATTATGAATACCGTTATTTGTACATTGAACTCATGAAAGAATCGTTGTTAAACCACCATTAGAAACCTGGAAACACAGAACGACTGTTTCGCTCTTGTATGGGACTAATCAGTGGCAGCGCACATAAACGACTCATGTTACTCGTAGGATTCGAACCGAGGTTCCATGGCCTAGCGCTAGAACACCTAACCTCTATGACTCATACCTGAATGAAACGCCTATCGAATGCTTCAACGTTCCCAAATGGTGGTCTAACAATGTTTCATCCATTATTTCAATGTGGGTATTATTTTTATTATTTAGAAATATTGTAGTGAGTCATTCAATGTCTCTCACATGACTTATCCCACTTGTCTTTTGACCTTGTCACTTATTCGTCGCTTGTATTCATGTGTGTACATGCCTATTTCGCTTACTACATGTCTGTCTTATTTTTGTCTGACTATAAATTCTTAGTCATGCTTTATGTCTCGGAATTGGCTCACTAGCCTTCTTCCATTCTCCTCATCCGTTAATTCGTCCATTCGTACATCCGCCCGTTAGTGTGCCTGTCCTGTCTGTTTGTGGTCTGCTGTCCCATTTTGTGGTGTGCTAAAAAATGAACGTAATCGACACTTCGTATTTCCCTTCTGATATATAACCGTCAGGCGTTATCCAGTGCCGATTGCCTAGACGAGTGAATTACAAAGTCTAAGAACACATTGGAATTGGCCACCACAATAATATAAACACGAATAATAATCTCATCTTATTGGTAATCACAAAGAATAGGGAAATCAATTTAAAAAATGATTATTATTTTGGAATTTTCAGATAATGACATAGGAAAAATTAGAAAAATTAACTTGTACGATAAGATTTTACCTACCTAACCTACCTACCTACCTACCTACCTAACCAACAAAATATTATTTCTGTGTAAAACATGAAAAATACCAAAGAGTAAATGTTAAATTTTTTATTATAAAAAAATAAACTCAGTATTATAATGACCGCCTATCTGTGAAATTGAAATATATTTGAATAGTTAGATAAAAAGAGACTTTCGGTCCAAAATGTGTAACCAAGCAACAAGTACCCATATATACATATACATATATATAGATAACACAAATTCTTCTACATTCTTTCGACATAATAGACAGTTAGTTAGTTCTAAGAGAAAGAAAGTAAACTCAAAAAACACTAATGGAGGGAAAAAGAACACATTAAAAAATTAAATTCAATAAAAACATAAAAATTTTATAATTGATTATCATTTTTTTTTATATGCTGTTTGTTATCTACAATAAGAAACCTGTTAACTAACTATTAGATAAGAATAAATGAATTAGGCTTTCACAGTTAGGGATATATATATATAAGTTCATATATATGG